TTACTAATTAAACTACTAACTAATTAAAAAGCCCACTCACTAAACATTATTAGCGATATTGTGAAGCAGTTTTGCTTCCTCGTCATATTTTTAATCTTTTTAGTTGATTTCTATCTTGTTAATTTAATTTCTATAGTAATTCAATGATTTAATTATTTCATTTGTTTATCTTACTAAGAAGAATTGCTTCAAATATGTTAAATTTTTCAAACTACGTAAAACATAAAATAGGTATTAATAAAAATTAGCTTTTTTATTTATAAAATAATTTAGCTCAAAAAAAACTAAAACTTGCAAACTTTGTTTAATAAAGAATATTTGTTTCCTTTTTAAACAATCGTAAGATGTTACTTTAAATAAAAAACATCGCTTAATTTTATAAAATTTTTTTTGTAATTGTCTCTCATTGGTCCAACTAATCTTTAGCGATTATTTTTTTTTGCTTGTTAAAATGTTCTCAAAACGATTAAAAAATCTGGCCAGCTTTTCGCAACTAAATATTATTTACGTGGTCAGCAATCGAGAGCGATCGCTCCCGCTTCCCGACCAAGCCTGAATAATAAATACAATAATTGTTTTCTTTTATAAACAACTTTGCCAACTCGGCCATAATGTCATTAATGTTATAGTTATATTGACTGTCACACAAAAAAAGTAAAAAATACAAACGTATTTTGTAAGCAAAAAAGAAAATTGAAACTCAAACTTTTTCTTTTTTATTTTATGTAGTTGCACAATAATTTTTAATTTTTATAAATCTTTATCTAAAAATAAAAGAAAAAGAAAGTTATTTATATTTATGAAAAAAAGTATACCCTTGCGAGAGCCATAATCTGCTCCCGTAAACCTTTTTAGGGAAGTGTAGGCGAGAGTGAGAGCTGAAGCTCTTGCTTCCTGCAAAGGCCTGTATATGTGTGTGTGTGTATATATAATATATATATATATATATATATATATATATATATATATATATATATATATATATATATATATATATATATATATATATATATATATATATATATATATTATCCATCTATTAGGTTGGCGCAGATGTATTTTTTATACATTGTTTCCAGTTTAGGATATTGAATGCTGGATCTTCTTGACTCGATGCATGGGTTTTGCTTGTGTCTCTGTTTTTATGACTAGGCAACTCATTCTATTATCTCCAAATTAGGGTACAGCTCTAAAACTCAGTTTCATGGTTCTGAGACCGGCTGGTAGTCAGGTTTTCCGAACTCTGTGGTAGCTCTCAGAGAGGCTGATTCCATCAACAGCTGAAAAATATCAGAGTACTAACAGTGCCATGTTGCGCATGGATGGTGTCCCTGTTGGTACTTTTGGTGTGCATTGCCGAGGCCACATTGGAGCCCTTTGTTACGGCTTAGGGTTTATTAGTGGAAATGAGGCAATTGCTTGGGCTATAAAACAGTGCACTGAGTACTATCTATGTTTCGAGTCAAGTTCTTTAACAAATTTAAAAATGAATAAAGTAACAAAAACTATAAAACACAAAAAACCACAGTCATCACCAAGTTCACTAAACCTATCATTCACCAATATTCGTGGTCTTCGGAGTAACTTTTCTTCTATTGAGTCTTATCTCTTGCAAAGTTCACCAGACCTACTTGCTCTTTCTGAAACTAATTTGAGTTCAGCTGTCTCATCTTGTGATCTTAGTGTTGATGGTTATCTTCCTTTAATTTGTAAAGACTCCAATAGTCACATGCATTTACATTCGGGCATTTCCTGGGCATTTACATTTGTAAGAATTCACCCATTTGTCGAGAAACTAGGTTTGAATCCACAGACTACTCTTTTATGTGCTTTCGTTTAGCACCACTTCACTCTATCACCTTTCTCTATGTTCTATATCGCTCTCCTTTATCTCAAGACTGCACTCTTCTTGATGATATTTCTGATTATATTGACCAAGCCCTCATTCTTTATCCATCAGCCAATATTGTTGTTGTCGGTGACTTTAATGTTCATCTCACTGAATGGCTTGGCTCAAGTGTCAGTGTGTCTAAAACTATTATCTCATTCTTCTTTACCATCAGAATCCCTCTATCAATGTACATCTTACAACTACCTTAAAGCTGACTGGGACTTTTTCCGTGATTTTCTTTGTGACGGCCCCTGGGTAGAAATCTTTTGTCTTCCTGTTGACAAATGTGCTTCTTACATAACTTCATGGATTCAGCTGGCATAGAATCTTTTATTCCCTCTCAACAATTCCAGCTCAAGCCTCACTCATCTTCGTGGCTTTCCTCACATTGCTGCTGCAATTGCTAATTGAAACCATTACTTCCATATCTATCAGCAAAACAATTCTCAAGAAAACAGACGTCTGTTTATTACTGCTAGGAACCATTGTAAAAAGGTTTTGTCTAACGCCAAAGCGCGTTATTCTCAGATCATGAAATCTCAAAAATTAGGCTCTCGTGACTTCTGGAGAATCTTTAATAGTATCAATAATAAGGGCAAGTCTGTGATT